CTGTCTGCCACAAGTGTTTTGAAATGAATACCACCCATCATAAGCATTCAGAAGTGTTAGTTAATTCCATTGTTCCTGAGTTTTGAAAGAAATGAGAGGAAGAAAAATAATTGTGATTACATCAATGTGATGGTAGACGAATGTAGCCCAGTTTGCAAAATCAGTCTTAACTTTTAGTTGTGCTAGAAATTTTCTGGTGTGAATATGGTAGGGTTGTCTTTTCACCTATTAGGTCTCTGCAATATATATTTCTATCAGCTAAAACCCTAATAAGGATGCAATTGTAGCAGCAAAACAGTTATTGTGGTGGAATTTATAATAAATTCAGGGAAGTGGAATGAATAATTTAGCACCTTTGAAGGTTTTTTTGAACCAGCAGATGATTAGTTGGAATTGCAGATAATTTGTAGAGTAAGTCCAGAGAATGTGTCTAAAGTCCCTAAATGTTCATCTACTTAATCACTACTGATTTTGATTACGTACAGCGAAAAATGAGTTTCAGTAGAAATGGTATAGAACTGATACACAATGGCAAATTTGTTTGGCTGTCATGGAACTTAAGTGAATTTTATAAAACCATGCTTTAAAAAGACATAGATTCTAGGTGGCAAACCTACAATAAAATCTATGTACTATGCTAAGCAGAAATCCACTTACTAAGAGGATTCTCCATATAGGCACAAATGTAAGCCACATAATTTAGGATCAAGGCTGCAGTCCCTCCGATAAAATGTTAAGCACATCTGATACTGAGAAAAGGATTATATTGTGATAATACAAAATTAAATCAACTGTGTTTGGTTTCCACAATTAGAAGATAAAATGACTCTATTGTCCTTCCAAGTAAAGCTAATGTAATATTTACAAATAAAATTATGTATAAAAATAACAACAATAATAACAAAAATGTAAGGAGAAAGTTGGCATCCGGCAGTGTAAGACAAATTGTTATGATCACATAATGTATCCAGAATCACAAACACGATCCAAAGACATTGAAGTGATTGACATTTGATAGTTTGGGTTCAGTCATTGTGTTTATTTTCTGTAGTGACTAATAATTTACTTGATTTCAAACTGGCTTTCATTTTAATAGGCAGCTGCCGCTGGCCGAAGCCAGTGAGCAGCGGGTGCTGCCGTCCTAGTGAGGTATGGAGCCACTTGTTAGGCTATCAACTCGATCTGCGTGTCCACAATCAGCTGAAGGGAAGAGTCTGGTACAGTTTTTGCAGACACACAACTAGGAGCAAGTGTGTGTCTCAACCAACTGGTCATTCACAATTGGAACATTACGAATTTTAAGTAAACATGAATACCATACTCTAGCAAGAGTTCACCAAGTTCAAGTGAACCTCTTTGAGATACTAAAAGAAAAACATGGCTACTAATTTAAAGTACAAAACACAAGCAGAAATATTTTGCAAGTCAGTGAGTCATATTTCCCTCATAAAATTGTTGAAACCATTGTGCCCAGAAACAATTAAATATGTGACTAGGACTGGAAAAGTTTAGCCATAAACACAAACAGGCACCAGTTTTTTGTTTGTAGAGGATGAAGGTCATTTGGCTTGAGGAATATCCTAATACTAACAGAGATGAAGCAGAACATGCAGTTTGAGCGTACTCAGTGCTCAGTAGAAGCTCAAATGTTCCGCCCTACATGCCTCAATAGCTGGTAACACTGACAGTTAAATGCTAATGATCTATTATGGCAAATCATTGAAACAGGGACAAACAAACATACTACTTTAATTTGAAAAAACTACTCTTTTGATTTATGTTAAAAATACATTTCTGAGACCTGAAGTCTTAACCTTACAAAATTGCACATATTAAATGTTTGAGTCAACTAGTACCTTGCAGTTTGGAGGTCTTTTTAAGACTGACAAGCTTTATAAGGCTTTTTCAGGACTCGTTGTTTTTTCCAGTAGTTTGGTGTTTCTATTGCCCCTGGCAATAGACTCCTTCAGCTTGGCCTGATGTTTTTGTGCTCTACATATGCCAGCCCCTAGCTAGCTACCGTATTCACATTCTGTGCTTTTTGGGAAGATTAAAAGAGAGGAAGTTCCTCTGCTCCCCAGGGTATAATCCCTGTATTTATGAGATTTGGACTCATTGGCCTACACAGCAGAGGTTACAGGTTTGAAGACAGATTTGAACTCAGCTTTGTCGGGGGTCCTTATCTGATTTATTTCTAGCCTAGAGGGAGAGTTGAATTTGATATGTGTCCAGATGCTTTTTCTCAGGGGCAGTTGTAACGTAGCTCAGCACTTTTATACAGACACTGTGGCTAGCAAAACCCTCTGTTTAAACAACTCCATTTATAAATCTTTCTTATAAACAAAATGTTGTCTTGACATCCGACTTATGGTCTTCTACTCAGAAGTGTGAAATGAGCTGTAAGATTTCTGGGTTGCTACAAAAAATATATGTGCTGGTGTGTACTTTGTCAACATTATTTCAAAGTAAAAGATAAGCCCTTTAATGGTGCTTTCCTAACATTATTTAAATTCTCCTCATTCTTATGAGAGGGAACTGTGGAAATGTGCTTGTGAATTGCTTTTGAATGTAGCTATGCATTACAACAGAACATGACACAGTCAGTGTCCTTGAAGACTGAGCTTTGCGCAGTTAAAAAAAAACAAACAATGCATGGGAATTTTTAAATGCTGATGGCTATGTGCAAGTGAGGTCCGATTCATCTCTCATTTCTACTAATTTGCAACAGTGTATCTTCTTGAAGTCCAGAATTATATTTCATTTATAAAAACACATGTGGCAACAGAATCAAGTCTAGGCAATTTAAGCAATTTATTTCTTTTACCAACTGAGTTTTGGGGGTCTCTAAATTTCCAACTTAATTCCTCGCATCCAGAGTTTAGTACCACAGATTTTTACTTTGGGGTCCTCTCATTATTTTCAATTTTTTGTTCCCTGCCAAGGGTCTGCCTGGTTTTGTTTGTGTCATATCTATATGCTTCAAAGGCTTTCAGTCGCATGCTATGCAGGTTTTAGTAGTCCTATAAAATTAGACAAGCTTTTCCTGTACTTTCTTCCTCCCTTTTACTCATGAACCATTTTTCCGAGGTTAGAGAGCTGAAGAATAGATCCTGGGAATCTGGCTTAGACTTGATGAGGGATGTGGTCAATAACCATGAGGCTATTCCTTTTATTTCTTCCTTTAACAGCTTGTTATGCAATTACATTTTTCAGTAAGTTGCATGTTTTTTTCAGCCTAATGATCCTTTTGATGGGGTGACTGTTCACAGACTTGTAAGCATCTGAAAAATAGAAGAAAGAATGGAAAATATTTTGAAACTTCAGCTATGATATGATGCAAGTACAATCTCTGATTAAGGGTGTTAAGGAGGCATCCTTTCAAGACAAGAGAATGTACAGTTGATTAAAGCTATACAGTTTGATTAAAAGGTGATTAGATATACCTACATTTTTCCATGTGACAGATTTCTATTGATACTTCTGAAGCTATGGAGTCATGTGGACTTCGATGAACTGAGATGCAAAATACCAAGCCATGCCCAACACTTCTTTTGACAAACTAGTTAGCTTGTAAATCAGGTAGCTGTTTGGCTCAAATTTATAATTTTCGCATCTTGTTCTAAAGTCTTTTGCCTGGTTTTCACAGATGTATTCATGAGCTTGGCACAGCCTGTAGAACAGGCAAAGAAATGGGGAGTCAGACCTCAGCCCAGGGAATGGACTGAGTGGCTTCTAATGAAATAGTCAGGTCTCACTGCAGGATCTCTGCCTGTGGAAATTCATGACAGTTTTTGTTACTGCATTGGTAGATAATGATACCTAAAGCATAGTCACTCACAGTAATTCCCTGTACTTGTAGCCTAGCCCAGAATTAGCAAAACACTTTCAAATCTCCTCCCGGGAAGTATACTTAACCATTCAGTTCTTTATATGCAGTCTGGAAGAGCACTGAGTTAGGTTGCTCTCCGGGATAGTGGCAGAGCCAGGAAAAGTCTTATCTTGACATTTCTGGGTTTCTAGTCTAATTGTAGCCATGCTGGTGGGATAGGGTCAGGCAAAGGGCTTGAGTGCGGATGTTTGTTTCCAGTATCTACTCTGATAGATTGAGCTCACTGTTCTTCAGAGCACATTCTGTAATACAGGACAAACTTTTGCATGGAGCATGTAGAGCTCTTTCCTGGAGTTTGTACTTCTCTCTACAAATAGACACTCCAGCTTTGTTTTACTCCATTTTACTCAGTTGTGGTGTTTACATTACACCAGCTTGAGGGGGGAAGGAAGGGAATTTTTCTGTACATTAACTGTCTGGGTGATTTTCTACAGCTGCTTTGAAGGATATGTCTGTTACTTATATTGTAACTTGGATTCTGTAGACATATGGCAGAGAACACAATTCTCCAGAAAGCAAAAGAGTTTGACTGATGGAAAACAGAAGAGAGCAATCCAAGAGAAATTCTGCCAGAGGAGGAGCATGAACCTGAAATTTACTGTTGAAACCAGACTTCTGCCTTGGGCTTAAGTACCACACTCAGCCAATTCTACCATTGACTTCAGTGTGGCTCTGCACAGATGCAAGGAACTGCTTTTTGGACCCGACTAAGTCTGGAGCTTAAGTATTGTTCTGGCATCCGTACTGATTCGCAAATACACTGGTTGGCCTGAACTCATTAAGCAGTGGGACAATTACAGGGTTTTTTTAAAAATCAGAAATATAGAAAGCCTGTGAATTGAGGCTATTCTGGGTTTTTCATAGTGAGTTTGTAAAATCAATCAGAAATTGAAGAGGGCATGAGAGATTTAATTTTAGACTATTCAGTCCCTTATTAAGTGAATTGTGGATGGCAACAGAGGAAACGTGTATAACAGACAAGTCTTCCTTTTCTGTTTAATCTACTGTCTGTTGTTCTGACTTTCTACTTCCAAGCAGCTCAGCACTTGCAGCAGCACAAGCATAAACTACCATGAAGATTTTAACTCATCTGTTTTTCTGTTTATTTCAGAAGCCAGTAGACTTACTGACTGGCAACCATGTCGGTCAAACTCACATTTGTCTCTCCTGCTGATGGGGGTGGTATCAGCAGGAGTTGTTCCTTCACTGGATTCAGCACTGTGCAAAGCAGAAAATTAGCGTAAGTACTACAAAAAGTAAAGCACTTGATTGTTTGGGCAACGGACATTAGGCACTGTGAATGTATTTTTTAACCTAAGGCATCTACGTGTAGAAATTGTTCCTTAAAAGGGATGCAGCCCTTCCTGCTAGCAGCCTACTAGTAACTCATGTTTTCTGACTAAATCCTTCTGAATAGTTGTGGTAATTAAAAATCTCATAGGCCTTTGAAAAGGTGGGATGTTAGTAGTGAATCCTGACAAAACATGTAACTGAACCCAAATCAAGTTCTCCTGGGGTTATTTAAGCAGAGCAGCATTATAAGGGCTGCTTTCTGGCAATGCCACAAATGCGAGGAAGGGAGGATCACAAACAGGCCAAGAAGGCCACTGCAAAGTCGCTGCTATCTGTAACAGCTCTATAGTATAGCCGAGGTTGCAGGCCAGGCTCCAGTCGAGCTCCGTAATTGTTAATCCATCCTGCACTGTTTTTCCCTTTATGCTTATCACAAGTTGTGTAGCATTGCTCTATGTAAATATCTGCAGCTTTTCCACTAGAAGTGCTCGTTCTTTTTCCGAACTGAGTGATCCCTGTATAGCCTGTCGAGTACTTTTAGAAGATATGATCTATAAATGGAAAATTAATATAATCTCTGACTGCCAATGCATGCTAGAATAATAACAAAGTGAATCATTTAGCAGTATCACATAGAAGTATTGGAAAGTATCCTATTGTGTATCAGTAAAATACTTGACTTATGTCATGAAATATCTTTTCAAAGAACCAAATGACTGAATTCACCTTTTAGTTGAACACGGCGTGAGCAAAAATGAAATTCCAGCATGATTGTAATGTAATCAAGAAGTCTTCACATTTGAATAAATTAATTTTTTGTGAAAGCTGAAAAACAGTATTACACCTAGCAAAGATTGAATGTCTAAAATCACACCAGTCTCTAAGATCTTGAGAAAAACACTGTCAAATTATATAAACAGACTTGAGCTCAAGTACATAGTGGGAGTTCTAGCAGGGAAAGGATCTACCAGGAAAATCATTGAACAGCTGTTTCTCCAACAAAGGCACAGTCCAGCAGGGTAAGAATGCTCCAAACAGAAGAGTCCATTAAGATTAATCTGTTACTTTTAACTGCAAAGGTTTTCTAAGCAAATGCATCTGTGCATTCTTTATGATGTTGCTTTTCATTATTTAAGTGTTTAGACAGACAGTTTTGTTCAGGAATCACTGAAATAAGGAAAATTTGTGTACTAGATAGTCACAGCCCAGTGAACACCCACGAGTCTTCCCCAGCATAGTGAAGAAATTTTTTAATCATCCTTTCCTAACTTATCTCTCCCTCAGGCACTGTTGCAAAACACAGCCAGAGATTGCAGGGGCCCTGTGCAAGGTCTATCCAAAGGATGACACACAAATCAGGTCCACATGGAGATTCTTAAGCAGATGCTAAATATACTTTTGCATTTCTTTAGCAACTTCCTTTTGAGGCTTTCAGTCAGACACAGTATTTCATTTTTCATTACAATGGTCTCTACAGGAAGTAAATATTATTACTGTTATCTAAAAAGTGGGAAATTTGATACTAAAATTATCAAGTTCACAAGGAATAGCAGCAACATAGCATCTAGCTTTTAGCTACTATCCCTAAAGGCCCATGTCAGCCACTTAACTTTTCTATGAAATGTATGAAAATGGGATTCTTAACATCAGTGCACTGAGTACATATGGGCTACATCAGTCAGTAGGAGATACTGAGGGAAATGGTGAGTTTTAAATCTCAACCTATCCATATGCAGTGCTTAGATGCTATACTTTCAACCGAAGGAAAGTGATTTCCTGAATTTAGGATCTGCAGTCCAAAACCCTGAAGGTAAATATCAAAGTCCTTTTCTTTCGAAAAATAAACAAAACTCAGGAGTAATTTGGGCTTTTTAATTTCAAAAGATAGAATTATCTTATATCTTCCTTATGGTATCTTGCTAATTAGAGTACTCATCTAAAGCATGGAACTGGATGCTATTACCTTCTTTGCATGAAAAAATTTTAAGTGATGATCCTGCTAGGAGACTCTTTCAACTGCTGTTATTGGCTAGACTGTCCCTTCCAGTGTTATTCCTGTTCAAACCCTCTCACTTTGCATGGAATACTCAAAGACTCATAATCTTAGAAAGAAAACAATATTAATATAATTTTCTAATTTAACAGGTATGTTCCTCGTTATAGATAAACAGATCTCCAAATGGCTTGGTTAATTAATACTTTACATTATGCCACCATAAAAAACTAAGATAGTCACTGGGGTGAAGAAATTAAATATCCAGTAATGTTTGGCAACACCTAGTTTTATCAGATTTTTTGCAGACTATATGTTAAAAAATTGAGTTAGGTGGAAATTTAGCACCAGGGTAATTAAAGTAGTTACTCAAAGGATTCTGTGATAGGTCTGGGGACAGCTCTCAGGTGTGCTGGGCCTAGGATTTAATCACCAAGCTCAGTAATCTCTTTAGGCCTTCAGTCACATGCTTAGAACTTAAAACAGCCAGTGGCTAGCTATTAAGCCTGTTGAAGCTCATCATTCTTCTAGGTGAGCTGAATTTAGGATAGAGATTGTAGACAAGGTGGAAAATTTCTCTGAGAGTAACCAGTTGGCTTGGCTTGGCTTGGTTTGGTTGAATGGGAAACTTCTTTAAGTAATGTTATTTTAGAGGCTTGACTTACTGGGAATAATAACAAAACTTTATAAAAAAACCTAAGATCTACAGCAGTATATAGATAAAGATAAGCTAGGTAGGAATCTCACAATGCGAAGAACCATTTGCAGGGAGTTCATTTTCTGGTTTAAATGTTGTAGATAGTGGTAACTAATGGCTTGGGGTGTTCTAACTCTTTAGGTTAGCACAAAAAAGGCTCTGTGGGGGACTTCTGTGTGAAACAATATTTAATTTTGGTTTTTCAGTTGCTTTTAAAAGTAAGCGAGGTGTTACACACCGAAAAAACACCTTGATAATTATATCTTGTATGCAGCCTGGGCTTAGGTGCTTGCCTTTTTAAAACATGGTAGGGCTTTAAGCCACCATTTAAATGGATGGTGAGTGCAGGCAAAGAAATAGCTATTTTGAAGGCTTTTTATGTTAGCTTTATCAGTTAAACCTTGAGCAGATCAAAAGTTTGTTGTTTCGTTTTCCTGTATTGCAGGTGAGAGTTAGAATGGGAATGTCCTTGTCCTGCAGTGTGGCTTAGTTGACTAGTTCTTTGACCCAACAACCAGTGTGAATGTGCACACAGAAACTTTAGCTAGCTGCCATGTGTGTCTGTTAAGACAATTGCTAGCAGTATGAACATTAACTTGTTATTAACCTGTTATAAAAATGAGCTTTTATTTTTCTTGCTCAGTTCTCCCCCCACCTTCCCAAAGAAATGGGGACCTGCACAATTTTTCTTTATTTAGAAAGGCTTCTCAGAGTCTGTGTCAGGTTTGGAGAAGGAGGTGTTTCTTGTTGAAATTATTATTGTTGAAGTCAAAGAACTTGAAGCCTTTCTGCACTAGGTATTTAGGACTGTGCCTCAACTTTCTGATGTTATCCTTGAAAGTATTCTCAGTGTGTCCCAAGAACTTTGGTTTTTTGAGTAAAGATATATGGGATTGGACATATGACTTGTGGCCCAGAAGCTTTGTGGGTTAGGCATCTCTGTTCTCCCAGGTGAATGGGTTTTGCATCTTTCCCATGGTTTTTGTTTTTTTTTTTTTTTTTTCTTTTTTTACAGAAAATCTCTCAGCAGAAGTTCAGTGAGATCAAGAATGTCACTGAAACCCCCGAAGGCTTATAATTCCCTGCAGAAGGGGGCAGTCATCTGGGATCCAAAGCCACTGCAGGTGAAGAAAATTTTTGAAGCTTTGAAGAAAGGACTTAAGTAAGGACAATTTAAATATTGTAATTTGCCTTACCTAGTTATGCTGCTTAAGTCTGTATATCACTGTTTGCTATCTCCTTCTGGCATCTCTAAACCTATGTTGTGACTTTCCCAGACACTGGGACCTTGTAAAACAGGTTTCATTCACTCTCAGGCAGTCTGCTTGTAAACAAAGTGCTCTGATGTTTTTGTTTGTTCCTAGTTTGTTACACTTCTCTAAAAAGTCGGTGACAGGTAGAATTCTGTGGGGCAATTCTCCATCCCTTGAGAAAGGGAGGCTTTCAGAGCATAGAGGGTGGCAGGCAGGAGGTCTGCAGATCAAGGAGAGACTTGGATAGGGATGGCCCAGCCAGATCGGGGCCGGGGGGCAATTGGCAGAAAGTTTCTGGAGAGGTTGATGTGTGGAGTTTGACTCAAAAAGCTGACTTAGAACCAAGTCTGGAAGCGAGGGTGTGTCCTGCAAGGACACAGTGGGGAGGCTGTTGGTAAACCATTTCTATTCTCCCTATGCTAATTAGAGAACACTTAGGAGTTAGATATTTGGGAGGTGGGTTGTGATTTGTTTGTTTTTTTTTTTTTTCTTTCTTTCTTTTAATGGAATTAAACTCTTGAGTTTACAGATACTCTTTTATCTCTGGGTGCTTGTGGTAAGGGTAAGGTCTAAGCAGATCCACCTGAAAACTCCAGCTGACTTGAGGTGATGAAATGGAGCTGTAGTATAACTCCATCTTCTTATGGCAATGTAAATAACATTATATTGCTTTAAATGTAGCACTATTTCAGAGTCTTTATTATTGTTGACTGCACAGTCAATGTTGCATCAGTACAGAATTGAGTGAAAAGGCTAAAGACCAATTTTGTCCATTGTCTCCATCTGGCAAGTGTGGGGTGTATGCAGCAGACATAAGAGATCAAATGATGGGCTGGCAATCTGAATTTAGGGTATTCGGTCTTTGAGGAAGCTGTCAGTTGCCTCATAGAAATGCTGATAATATTCGATGCTGAAATGACAAATAAAACCTGGATGAGCTTGCTCTTGTGGTATAACAGACCAAAAGGGAAGTGGTGGTAAGTGCTGTTTGCCTCCATCAGTGATTAAAACTGATCAACCTTTAACTGAGTCCTCAAATCTTATTATATAAAAATACACATCTTAAATCTTACAGTTGATGTTGGTGGGTCTAGTCTAATGTCATAGGAACTTCATTTACACCCTGCAGCTACTATCAGAAGATAAAATACATTTCCTTGGATTTGTAAACCCCGTAGCTCTTTCTGCTGGCATCTTACTAGCTGTTCTTTCATGTATGTTGCTGTTGTCCTCAGAATTTTGCTACTGTATTAATTCTGATCATAATTTGCTGTCTTAAGCAAAAAATATAAAATGCATTGTAATAATGCATTGTAAACTCAGATGTGTCACATTTTTATTCCAATAAAAGACTATAGAGTCTGAGCCCTAAAAATATCAATCAATGTCTTATTAGTGGATTTAAATTTAAAACAAATAATGAAACCAAATGTTTTTGTAGAGTTTAGAACTTATCAGAACTTAAGGAGGAAAAACCATAAAGTGGATCAGAATTTTTTCCAGTTCTGAAGGGAATGCCATATGATCAGACTCCTGCCAAAACTGAGTAGCTAACTAATTGACTAAAGTAACCTACAGAAAACAACTGTATCAAATAGCAATACAAAGTCCAAATTTTAAGTAGATGCAGACTACGTCCACTTGGTGCTGGAGTGACTTGAATTTTTAGTACAGAACATGTTTTACGTGCCTGTTTCTTTATAGCTATAGCAAATAACTTTATTTTGTAACCATCTGGGTATCATTCCAATAACTATTCTGTTAACCATCTGGGTACCATTCCATCAAGCTGGCAATTCTAACATTCTTAAATCTAAATGATGAAGCTCTTCTAAAAGGAAAGGGAACTCTCTTCTGTCACCAGCCTCGGCTACTTCTGTACTAAGCTGTTAATAGGCAGGTGTAGAGAGCAGACAGCTGAATGCTGGAGCCACTGGGTGTCTTAGGGGAACTGGTTCTGTGAAAGTAAGAAAATTAAATGCATCAAAGCAAATGTGAAGAAGTGTAGCTGTCTAAAATGAAGTTATTTTGACTGCTCAGAGTCTGTGTCTTATTATGTAGTATTTACCAGGTGATTCTTGTTCCCTTTTAAGCATAAGAGGAAAATGTTACTGAAGTCTGCTTCATGTTAAAAGCAAAGTTGGAAGAAGATGGTTTCAGCAGAAATAGTTTAAGGCCCTGTGGGAACTCCTAAGGGACAGCCCTTGCATGCAGGCAACTCTGTAGAAGCCAACCGGCACTAAGTGTTTCACACCTTGCAAAATAGTTCCCATTCCAGAAAAAGTAATAGTTAATTTAAGAAATTATCTAGTGTACTAAAAGGTGGTATTTAGCTCTGTTCACTAAAACACTGAAGGACGTATGCCTTGCCTTACATGTGGAGTACTTCTATGAACTCTGTTTTGTAGTGTGTCTGTTTCATGTTGCAATTCTTTGACTTTGTAAGATGGAGCTGGTTGATGAATTCTTACTCCTCAGTAACTGTAAGAAAAGACTTGCTCAACAAATGAACTGATCTTCTACCTTGCAGAAAAGGTTCCAGAAAGCCAAAGAGGAATAGTTAGAGAAATCTGAAAAGGAGATCTGTGAGCTGGGTTATGTGTGTATTAGAACTTACTGTTCTCCTCCTACATACCTGCTTTTCTGTTGCCTCTAGTAGTACTTCCAGCTCTACTGTCTTGTTTTGTTTTGATTTGCATTCCCAGAATAAAGCCTATCTTGCACTTGAACGATCTATTTTAGATGAAGGGAAATAAGAAATAGTGAATGTCTGAATGCAGTGTGTGAATGTGTATGTGTTATGCAGGTGTGGTGGCCTCCTTGAATTGCATTGTAGTATTCCACATCTTGGAGGAGTAAAAAGGATTCAGGAGGATTCCTAATGTACAGCATCTTTAAATGTTAGGTAACAGTATTCAGTATCTGCTGGCACTCATTCTGTACAGATGCTCCTCTAGGAGTGACTCTTGAATTTAGGGCAAATATTTGTCTATGGAAACTACCCTTTCTCATCTGTTGACCCCTGTATAGCAATTCGCATCGCCAGAGAGTAAAACAAGGGAAGTCTTCTAGAGAAGGAAGTTGCTTTGTAACATTCTGCTGAAAAATTCTTTGGGAAGGTGTTATAATGAATGTACCAGAAGAATGTAACACTGGGTTTTCCTCCTCTCCAGTGAATACTTGGAAGCACATCAGGCTGAATTGGATTATCTTTCTGGTCGACACAAAGATACAAAAAGGAACTCCAGATTGGTAAGAGGCTTTTAATATTAAATACTTACATGACTCTAAGTCACAAAAATAGATGCTGTCTCACATCTGGGGCTTCCAGGGGTTTTCCAGTTAAAACACTGAGGTAAGATCCAGCAAGCCATCCCAATCAGAAATTTACCAAGCAAGTTAACTTGGAATTTCACACTTTCAGCATCCAGCAGTGTTCTTCAGATTGTGGTTCTTTTATTACTGGTGTCTCATGTCTATTTAGTCATCAGTGTTTGTTTCTGTATGGACAGAAATGGCAATAAAGATAGAGCTTTGTTGGTGAATGTGTCTTAGCAACTTGGATTCTGTTGTGTTCACAGCTCCCTAGAAGTACCTTCAGCAACAGTGCTAATGAAAAGACAACTTGCAGATCTAACTTTGCCTTTCATTTGGGAAATAATATCTAGATTAAAAAAAAAAAAATCAGAAACTCCCAGGTACCATGACCAATGAGACTCTTACTATCTCGTTTCAAGCATCTGTGAAAAACAGCCAACAATGAACAGAAAATGAAACTACTTCTAAAGATGTTGAACTGTCTTTTTTTGTAGTAAACACTGTGTCTTAATTTAGTGTAACTTAAGATATGCGTAGTGAGTCTTGCAGTAAATATGAAAGTGTCACTAATATACACAAATGTACCATGCTCTCCTGTTCAGCCTGTGCTATTTCTCTTTCAGGCTTTCTACTATGACCTGGATAAGGTAAGACTATTGAGGATGAGGTGAAATGTTGCAAACGCAGAAAAACTGATGATGTGTCTACTGTGTTACTTAAAGGTATGTTTAGGAAATAACTTCTCAGGTTTCCTTCTCTCTTCCCCTCTTCAAAAGCAAATCCGCTCTGTGGAGAGATACATCAGAAAACTGGAGTTTCACATAAGCAAGGTAAGGGGTTTTCTATCTTGTACATGTAAGGCTTACACTACTGTATAAGCAAACCATCTAAATAAAAAATATTTTTCTTATAATTCATCTGAAGGGGAATAATGCTGGGTACTTTCTGAAAGCTGTGACCACTCTTTTTACAGAAGGAGGTGATTTTTATTTATTTATTTTCTTGAATGGTTCTATTCAGGCTGAATGTTGGGTGCAACCCAACCTGAGTTTGCCTGTGAAACTAGTTTGCATACTCTGCCAGTTTATTCAGAATATGCTGCTGTACGAAGACTTACGTGTTCTCTCCCCCTTCCCACAAGGGGTCAAAAGGGCAATTCTGTAGAGTCCATGTCTGTTTTCTGCCCTCTGCTTCCAAAGAATCAAACCTCTCCTCTGACATAGCTAAAGGCGTATTGAGGGAATTGATTTCCTGCTCCCCAAGTAACTTCCCTGAACAAAGTGTTACTCTACTCCTTGTCTTCTAGTCTGATAATAGCAGAGCAAACTGTTTCTCAATATCCTATGCTTTTTTGCAGGAATGTCTGCAAGCCATTGCACTCTAATCAGCCTGTAAAATGCAGGAGTTGTAGCATTCTGCAATACTATGATGATGGGATTTGGTTGGGTTTTTTTGCCAGGAAAAACTGCTGATGTTCCTTCTCAAAACTTATTAAAACTGTGCTGGGGGTAATTCTTGTTCGTTCTTTCCTCCATCCCCCAAATCCTAAAGGTAGAAGAACTCTATGAAGCTTACTGTATCCAGTGCAGACTACGAGATGGGGCCACTAATATGAAACATGCCTTTTCCTTGTCTCCTTCCACCAAAGCCTCCAGAGAGAGCCTTGTGGAGCTTTACAAGAACTTCCAAGAGTGCACAGAGGTAGGAAATACTACACAGGGATAGTGAAGACCTGACTGTTCCTTAGCAAAAAATGTACCAGGACTTGCTGCTGGCTCTTTTTTTAATGGTGTGGGTTAAAAACTTAAGATGTGAATGAAATACAGGTACATAATGTGACCTGAAGCTTGAGATAAATACCTTACAGGCAAAGCTCTTGAATTCTATGTGTTGGTTTGTTTTTTCTTTTTTGCCCCTAGTCAGCTTGGCTTCATGCATTCAAGAAGACAAATGAAAATTCCTTTGAATTTCTGCTTTAATACTGGGGTCCATTATGACTTTCACCAGAAGTAATGGGATGAGAATTGAATGATGAATAAGCTATGCTATTTTTACAAAACAAGCAGTGGAAGGTAACTGACAGTGAACCGCTCAAGCAGTTCTACTCTTCTGTGGAGCAGTGAAAAAAAAAAAAAAAAAAAAAGCCAAAGTCTGTTAAAGATGAGTTAAGAAAGTGGCATGTATGGGAAGGTAGCTATTCTGCATTGCTTTTCAGTCATAGTGACTTTTTGGTCTTTCTTCTAGGATATGTGCTTTATAGAAGGGGCATTGGAGGTCCATTTGGGAGAGTTTCACTTGAAGATGAAAGGTATGTTCCTTTATTGTTTCATTCAAGATTCATCAATTGATTTGGGGGTCTCTATGCAGCAATCTGATCCTTTGAGAGTCCGTTTATTTAAGGTCAGTTGCTTCCACTGGCTTTCTGGATCAGACCCTGAACAGAAGTTTGGCAAACTTCTGTTTGCTTCAGCATTGTAAAACAGATCTGCCATGGGTTTTTGTATTTGAGTACAAAAGCTGACAAGCTTTTTTTCCTCAGCATAATGAATGTTTGTCCTAAGAGTGTTTTGGACTAGCGGCATAGCTTCTGCACAGAGCTGAGCACAAGGGAATGTTAGCCAGATAGTCACTTCATTGCAAGCTGAGGCTTTGGGGGGACATTGTAAAACTCTACAAGTATTAGGAGTTTTCCTTCTCTTTTCAGGGTTGGTGGGCTTTGCACGTCTCTGCCCGGGGGACCAGTATGAGGTGCAGTATACACCAATTCATTTTGTCCTTTATTTTACTGCTGTGAGTTTAGAGTAGAGGAACAGGAGAGCAACATGTAGAAGGGGAGCAGAAAACCAGACTTCAGTAGTTACTCTGCCTTCTGAGACTGAAGAGGGAAAGATGTGACTCAAGTGTTACGGGAGGGTTTAAAAGACGGCAGTGACTGTCTATCAAAACCAACCTTTGTCTTCAAAGTTGCTCTGGAATCAAGTAACAGTTTTCTGCCTGTTTCTTGGAAGGTTGCCCTTGGCATGATTTGAATGCATCTTAGTATCTTACTGAGTTACTCTCCTACTTCTAACAGTTCCAAATGAATTCCAGTGTGCCTTGTATTTCAGTACCACTACACTTGCTATGCAATGTAGTTCTGCAGTTCTTCTAGAAAGGGTGGGACGTGTCATTTGGCACTGAATTGAGGTGTTAAAACCTGCAACCTGAATTCATGACTCCAATCTCCTAGCTTTATCCAAGTTCCTAAATGTATAGTGATCAAAGGAATGGCTTTGCTTCTGCAGTACTGGAACAGTGTGAGGCCTATGGGCTGAAGGGAATGTTCTGGGATATGTTGACCCAACATCCTTTTTCCTTTGTGGTTTCTAGGTCTTTGTGCGACTGGGGCGCCAAAAATGGAGGTTGAAAGGCAAGATTGAGACCGATGACAGCCAAACATGGGATGAGGAAGAAAAGATTTTTATACCCAATCTCCATGAGAAGTTTGAAATCAAGGTGTGGTGTATAATGGTTGGATTGGAATCAGTGGGTTAACAGGTCTTCTGCCATACTACTTACCTGTTAGGCTACCAAGCGTTTGTCAAAATTCTGAGGTAGTTTTCTTTTCCTAGCCATGTAAACATGGCAGTTAATCAATGTTCTGCTTACTGAACAGACATCCACTTCTGTTTTAATTTTACTCCCGGCACTCGTAACTGAATTGGTGCATCTGCTTTCCCATATTCTTGAAGTCTGGTATATGTGGTTGTTTTGTTGGTTGGTTGTCTTTTTTTTTTTTTTTTTTTGTTTTTTGTTTGTTTTTAGAAAAGTCCTAGATCAATATCTGAGATTTTCTAGGGTGAAATCTAAATGTGGAGACAAAAAGATGTGTATGTATATGTTATTTAATTTACCCATGTAGAATATTAAGTACCTGGAGTTCTGTTTTCTATTGAAAAAGAGAAATATGTGTATGGAAAACTTATCATTGTACATATATGTTCTAAAGGTGTAGTTCAAATGGCCCTTTATCTGGTTGCACTGCAGATTCTTTTGTCATATTTTACTCCAGAGATGCTCCATTATCTGTGAAGAACCATTGATATTTATATGCTACAAACTGTCTGTACTTTATATCTTTATTTAGAGTTCTGACTTTTTTTTTTTTTTTTTTAAAAAAGTGCCTCAGTAGCAGGCATATCTTTAACAGTAAGGGACCAGTGCTACTGGCCTGTGATACGTGGGTGACACTGGGCACTCCTTGGGGGAAGCGTGTAGTTCTCATAGACCCTCGTGCAGCTGCCACTGGCACAGGTTCTGGTGTAGTCTGGCATCTTTCGTGGGCTGGGCTCTGCAGCATGACTCCTGTCAGCCTGAACAGAGCTGAGATGGAAGGCTCTGCTGGATCCTATTCTACTAGGAAACCGTGCCAGTGCAGGGTTTTGAGTTCTGGCAGCTGTGTTAAAGCAGCTATTGCAATGTTCCCTCCTATCTGGCAGTAAGAACAGGGTTACATAGGAGAGACTCTTTGGCATCTTGCCAGTACAGCCTTTGGAAATGTGCTTCTAATGTGTTTTTTTGCTGCCACTGCACAATGAAGATCAGGTGAGAGGCTAATTCAGACCCCTGTTTTCCCATAACAGTTTTAAAAAGTTGTATTACTTTGTATGACAATTATAGTTTTACTCTTTGTCAGCTTATGAAAGTCTACTGACTAATGTTCTCCACACCCTCCCGTTCTTTCCACTTTGTACTTAATAATCTTCAACCAGTACAAATACATAGCAGGTTTAAAAAAAAAAAAAAATAAAAATTGAGAAGTGCCAAAGAGTGTTCCAAGAGGAGCCTAGCAACAAAACTTTTCCTAGCTGTTAAAGGAGGTATGTAACTAAATCCCAAAGTGGACTTCAGGCACTTGTGGTAAAATTCTGTGCTGTGACTGATGCTTTATGTGCTTCTAGAATAATTTGAACTTCAATTGGACGTATGATTTTATAGCAAATGTTTCATTAGATTTTTTTTTTTTTTTTTGTGTGTAGCTGAAGAAGCAAAATGCCAGGCTGGAAAAAAATGTGGGCCTGTAACTGCATTGATAACAAACTCACAGCTACCTGCAGAGCTAGAGGAAAGGACTAACACCTACAAGTTCCGATTTTGGTCCGCAGCTGAGCTCAGGACAGTTAGGAAGGTCACGGTGGATGCAGAGAGTTGTGCTTTCAGATCCTTTAGGCAATTGAGAGCTGAAATAATCTAGTGTAGGCAGGCTAATACGCTTCCCTGTAATATATATTTTTGAGTGTTGTTCTAACAGGTAGACGCTGGACTGTGTTATAAATGACAACTACTTGTACATATGCTAGAGCTAGAATTTCCAAATTTCAGACTAACTTTTTCTTAAAATCATAGTCTACCAGATTCTGTTGTCAGAAGTGCTGTACAGCCCTGTGTCTCCTCCACTCATAAAACTCCTCTCTACTTTGCTAGCCACCTATGCCATATTCCTTGTGGGGATACTGGTTCTCGACAGTTTAGGAGCCCAGAACTGAGTATCAAGGTTTTAAGTTTGTTGTGGGCCTCAGAGCAGATCTGAGCCTGGGTGTTCTCCTTTCCATGCACATGACTTCAGATTGTCTGGTAAGATGAAAATGGATATGTTTGTCCCTGCAGGTGACAGAGCTGCGAGGACTGGCCACTATTCTAGTTGGTGTCGTGACATGTGACAGCGTAAACTTCTTTACAACCAAGCCTCAGGCAATCATTGTGGATATAACTGAACTGGGCACCATCAAGCTACAGCTGGAGGTCCTCTGGAAGTAAGTACAGCTTCAAATGAAAAAAGCTGGAGCTAAACATTTGAAATATATTAAAGGCTCTTAAGTATGTCGCTTAGTAGCATTCAAAATCACAGTCCTCTTTCTATTTGCAGAGCAGGTGCAGGATAGCTAGCAGCCACACACGTCCTCACAGCAACCCCAGCTACTGTGCCTGACCTCTGACTGTGGGACCAGTCCTCAGGGACAGGAGGGGGAAGGGACAGAAGCTGTTTCTATGACCCTTCAGTTCTTTGATATTACCAGAGCCGTGGCTGGCCACATGAACTCACTTGCAGGCTTTTAGTTAGCTTACTGCTTTTCAGAATTGAGCATTCAAGTCTAGCTCCAAGCAATGTATTTTTGATGTTTTATAGATGTACATAATCTTAAATGTGTTGAAATGAAACTGAAAATAGCAGCTTCTAGATGCAATGGAAAAAATACATAGTTGAAATTCTAGGATGATCACTATTATCAGGCCACAATTTGTGAAAAACAATGCTTTCCCAAAGCCTTAGTGCCTTCATATTTGCAATGTGATTACAGTTATCAATAGGCCTGTTTTGTGCACTACAGGGAAGCTTGGTTACAGATGCACTTTTAAAATAGCCAAGGATTTTCATGTTGTCTGTGATTTGTTAAATTATAAAATAATTTAAATCTGTAAATTGATTTTTTTTTTTTAGTGGATTACTGATGTTATTAAAAGCAAATTCTCACTTTTGTGGATGCTGCACTGGAACTTCTTCCTCACCCTAGACATACCACCATAGATTTTTGAGGTAGTACTGTTATTTCTGCTTTATGGGACTGTTGGTCCATACTGAGAGTCTTGTCTGCAACAAATCAAAACTTTTTAACCTGTTTCCATTTACTATTGTCCAGGGGTTAAATCTAGCCATTTTAGTGAAGTGTCCAATTAAAAAACAGGCACTCTTCACATGTGCTTCAGTATATGCCTTACTGCAGTGCTCAGTTCTTCCCAACCCAACATGGCAGAGGCATTTGAACACACCTCCATGATGAGAACCTTCTTGAAAGGCCACATTGTGATGACTTGTGGATTTAGGCTCTTTCCCAGAAAAGCAGAAGCTGAACAATGTTTAGATTAGGAAGGGCAGGGAGCTATGCCTTGCAGGCTAGACTCACCTATGGCTCAGCCTCATACAACTCTTCTTCTCTGGCCATGCTGGTTTCCTGTTTTCTTAAAAATTAACCAAAAATAAAAAAACCCCACTTGTATGTGTTGAATGTGTGGTCTGCCAAATATGCCCAAAAGCCAAACAAATCTTTCAGTAAGAGAAAAGTTTTCCTGCCCTTAGGGTAAAGTAACCAAATGTATTTTACAATCAGACCTCATTTTTCAGGTCTTAACACCCTGTTTCTACTCTTAATCACCTTGGAAGCATCATTTGACTTAAACCTTATCACTGTCTTTTAAGCCACCAACAGGAGAAATGCCACAAAGGTTTTCTGTTGCAACTCCTGTTCAAGTGTTGATAAAAAGTTTTCAGGCTGCATTTCTGGGGTTGGGGAAAGAAAAGCTTTATTGATCAACATACTATTTTCTGAATGTCTTTTGTGTATGCTATCATTCTTGAAATTTATTGTTGTCTTATATGTGCAATTGGGCTGAAAAATGAGTCTTGGCAACAGCATCTGAAATTTTTTTCAAATGCACACATTGCTTCAAGTCAATGAGAAATAAATTCACACAGCAGAGGTTGTTTGTTTTGTTTTGTTTTTTCCTGCACCTCTTGTTTAGGACACTTTTTCTTCCTGAGGTCTAACAATGGCCATCAGTATATGTTTTGTTTTGGTGAGGTGTTGCAGCTGCTTTGAGACTTTTGAGGCCTCTCTTTCTTATTTGAGAAGCTGAGCCGCTAATTAGTTGAGTAATAAACCCTCATTCCAGACGCTTGCTGTGATCTTGCATTATATGCCATAGGAAACTTCTTCTTACTCATGCCAAGTGATGTGTATATTCCCCTTTGAATATGAAAGCAGAGTCATTCGTGGTAGAGTTACTGAAAACCGTGTGGAGTGGGGATGGGACAAGTTGCATTATATAACTATTTTTTCTTAAGTAAAAGAAGCTCTTAAAATGACAGCCCTTTTAAATGAAGGCCAATTAAAATATTCTGTTGTTTTGATGTTTGCACGCCTTGATATTGGGGATGGAAGGAGAAGAGGGGCATGGGAGGATATATGGGTTCTCATACATCCCCAGCAAAGTCGGATGCCTTAATTTGTCATCTCTTGCCCTGTAACAAACACATACCACCAAAACTTGCATTGGATTTAATCGGGGTGTAAAATGCTCAAAAGCTCTATACGCAGTTTCAGCGCGGAAAGAGCCCTCTGCTTACAGAGATGCTTTTCTTGTAAGGGAAGTCTCTTTTTCCCTGACTTCAAGCCTGACATCTTAAGAAGCTTCACCTGCACAGTGAAGGAGACGTACTTTCTTTATTGAACTGGGTATAAAATCTGTTCTTGCCCTAATAGGGGAAGTGCTGTACCCAGAGATGGCACGTTCATAGTGGAGTCTCAAATAAATCACTTCTTCTCGTTAGCCACTACAAATGGCATCTAACAGATAGATTGACTTAATATACTTTTGCTGGATCTACTTGCTTGCCTTTGCTCGCTGTCAATAACTTGCATAAATAATTACGCATATAAAATATTTTTACAAAAGGACTGTACAAAGAAAACCCCTTACTATTCTGGGATATTGCAGTTTCTCCAATAATAGCCTACATCTCGAAAGCAAATGGTATTTGTGACTAAATTTTCTAGAAAAAATACAGTTTAAATTACGTTGACGCTTGATTGTTACAGTAGCTTGCAACTCAGAGGGCAGCTTTTGGCTTGCAAGATGAGCACTTCTGTGGCATCTGGGACAGCCATCACCCAGCTTTCAGAGTTGGCGACAGCTGAGCTGGGAGCAGGGTTAGTGGTGACACGTTTTCTTTGGGAGTTAATCCCCACTTGGAATTTTTCAGTGTAGGAGAAAACTCTGGCTGTGTGTCTCTGCTGTGTTTAAGTTTTGTGCAATGCCTTGGTACCCTACCAAGTGGATTCTCCAGAACACTTCTGCTCAGCACTGGAAGGCTCCTCCTCTTTGAGAGCCTGTCTGCTGAAGTTGTTTACAGAAAAGAGAAGTTGTGTGGTGATAACTCAGGGTGTTTCTATTTTCAAAGATAAAGCACTCAAAATAACAGCTGCTTTTTTCTTTGATTTAAGAATAAGTAAACAAATCCAGCTGATTTGCCCAAACTTCCCTGAGAGGCAAGCTTCCAATCTAGACCTGCTTTGTGATAAATCCAAATGTAGATCACCATTCCACTTCTAAATGTATATTTTCTTTAAATAAGCCACTAGTCTTCTGGGCTCTAACAAAAGTTCCCTCGACTCCTTTATAGATTATGCCACGATGAGTGTGAATGAGCTTGAGCCTGTTGCAGAACAGCTTTGTTGGCCAGTTTGGCAGAAGACTTTGATTTTTTTGCCAACCTAAACAGCAGTCTGAATTATGTCTCTCACATGAAGGACAAAGAGAAAGCCTGTATTCTCTTTTCAGAACTTCAGTTAGCAGCCCGTACTGGGATCTAAGGGTACCATCCAGCCAGAACCTCTCTTGTGATTTCTGCCAGCTTTGAATGTGTGCTGGCCTGGCTCACAAGGTTTCGTGAAGTAAGAGGGGAAAAAAAAAACCAAAAACCTTAAGGGAGAATGAAAAAGGAAAGTCTGTGTGTTGTGTTTTGGGTTTGTTTTTGTTTTTTTTTTTTTTTTTTTTTTGATATATACCTACTGACTGTCTTGCTCTTATAGATGAAAACTTATGTGAATAGGTAGTTACTCATGCAGGTACTCAGAGAAATTTTGTGTCAGTGGTTTCAGGAAGTGAGTAGATAAACTAAAGAAAAGCATGTGACACTTAAAGGCAATAGTCTGCTTGCAAAGTCTGGTGCCTGACAGATCCAAGCCATAGATTGCCCCAAATTTGAGGATGTCTCTTGGGAAAGCCTGCTATAGTTGACTTATTTCATGTGCTTTTCCCCTGAATGTCCTCTACTGGCTTCTGTCAATGTCAAGCTGTTGAGAGAGATGGATTCATAGATCTGTCCCAGTATGATGTTTTGTTTGTTGTACAAATGTGGAGCAAGGTGATGGATCATGTCCAAAGAGCTCACAACCGAGAGAAAATACATGCTTTAGAGCAGACTTCATGCTTTCTTTCACTCTTTGCTTTGCTCTCTCAACTTGTTATCTTGCAGTAACAGGGAGCATGTGCTTGCTTGGAGGGCAGCTCTATAGCTGTATTTTGCTAGAGGGTTTCAGTAATTGTCAAAGGGGCAAAACAGATTTAGTGTGTTATTCCTGCCCCTTTCCTCCAAAGTGTCATTTTGCATTAATGCATCGCTATATTAAAAGCTAAAAATGAAAAATCTGAGGAATGGATCCCTGTGACTCCTCCTAAGGATTACTATGGATGAGAGTAATTTGCTTCCTTCAGTAAATATAGCAGGCTTTGGCTAAAAGGCTCATGCTGTCAGAAACCTGATTTATTTTCTGCATAGTGAGGCAATGCAGATGGTTGTTAATGTGACTCCATGGAACTGTCCTGTTTGATGAACCCCAGCTGGGTGACACCAGTTAATTTAGCCAATTAACCTGTATTAGGCAAGCTCACAGAGCTTTACCTCCATGCTGAGGAAGACAGTGATGTGTTGCACTGCAGGATGCTGTTGAGAATTGTCCCTGTGCAATATGAGAAGCTAGAGAGAATTTGAGCTCTGCTTTTCAACTTTTGCTAGAGAGAAGTTAATTTCCCTTTTCAGACTTCTAGTTGTTCTAGATTGTACAGCTAAATGCAGCTGACTTTATCTGACTTTTTGGTCATTATGTTCATATTTATGAGATAACAGATTTGTTATAGACAGCTAACTTTCTTTCAAAATGCTAGTTCTTAGTGGAAAAACAAACTTTCTTTTGGTACCACAAGGCATATCAGTAGGGAACAAAAGTAACATGTAGAAAAACCAAACTTGATTTACTTTAAATATCTGTTCCCTCTCCTGGTTATCTGACTTGCATTTTGGGAGACAGTTCGTCCGAGACTCCTTAGACTGCTTTGCAAAGGAGTTGGGAAATTAACGGCTCTAATTTAGTAGGTAATTGGGAAGTCTTTAGAGCAGGACTTGCCAAACTCTTGTAGACCATAGCCAGTATTCTCTGGGGCTGTCACTGGACTCATCCATGAGTGTATGAACCATGTAACTCACCATATACTGCTGTACAAGCTTCCTCTGCCAGCCAAAGGAGTTGTTTATTAATATTTGAAGGATAACAAAGTTTTTTAGTGGCTTTTTCAGGTAATCTGTGCTCTGCAGGAGGGAAATTAATGACTGATTTTCTTTATTACATGTGTTATGTTTCCTTTGTATCTGGTATGGTGGGTGTCTCACTGTCTGGCTAGTGGCTGGCAGCCTGTGCTGTACTTGCCAGCACCGGTGCCCGTGGAGGGCACTGCAGAAGGATGGAGAGCACTTCAGACTTTTGGCCCATTGGACTCTTCTTCCAAAGACTGTGGCACAGGTCTCTGTCTGAAGGGTGTCGAGAATTCTGTGTAAAATACGCAACCTTTTTGCCTATATCTTTCTCTGCTGGTGCAATCAACGATATTGGTCAGGGAGGCAGTTTCCTTTTTTGTTCCCCGTGTTGTTTCCCAACTGTCACAGTTCAAATCCGAACAGCTGTTCCTGCTGCTAAGCATTTCTGTGCTTTCTGGTCTTACTGACGCTTAGGCCTTTGTCTTCTGCTACAGCCCCTTTGACACAGAGAACCTGTTTTTGTCACCTGGAACCACTGCCAAGTTTTCTGTGGGTAGCAGGAAGAGCTCGTTATACAACTGGACCCCACCAAATACTCCCAGCTTCAGAGAGAAATACTACTTGGTGAGTATGCTGAGGAAAGCAAAATGAAAAGCACAGGCCTAGGACCTGATTTTTGGATTAGATGAGGCTATTGAAGAACACACTCAGAAATGTGAAAACGTAGCACTTCAGGGCCTTTGCAGTTTATTTTGGGGCTTTATTTTTTATATATATATATATATATATATAATATATATTAACCCCTATTCTTTTGAGTTCCATTTTAAATTTTGTAAAAGGAAAAAAAAAAAAAAAACCTTCCAAGTATTCCTCTGGGCCTCCAGAATGGTAGGGGTGTGGGCATCTGCTCTAATAGTCTATGGTGGGAATCAAACTACGAACCAGTCTGTCTCAGTAGCCATGAAGCAGAATGGCATCTTAGAGGTGCTATGTGAAGGAAGCCTTCCTCTTCCTCAACCCCACTTTTTGCCAAGCGTAGCCCAGGGGAATAGAAAACCCTGTCCTCTTGCACTCATTCGAGAGGGTTTTGTTTTAATGGTTGTTTTATATGATCCTGTTAATTCTGCCATACATCTCAAATACTAATCACAGCATATGTATGTTCCCCTAACATCAAGTCTAGAGCCCTGTGGTCTTGACCAGTTCAGGTGCATGTGTTTCCAAGAACAGGAAACTGTAGTTCTTTGTCTTAGGTGCTATCTCATGCTTTTCAATTGTTTATGTGCTCACCTATGAATCTATTTGCTGCAGTCTGTTTTGCAACAAAGGCAGAACCAAGGGGATGTGAGTGATGAAGCTCAGCCTCCCAGCATATTGAGCTACTTGGCTGCCTGTGATTTTGATGTACGCGGGAGGAGCAAGCCTCACAATCCTGCAGAGACAAGTGAGGCAGACTCGTTCAGCTCTGAGGACCAGAAAGGGACAGAATCCAGAAATACAACTCCAGCTCTAGACCATAGGACGTTGCCATTGGTGATTATTCAAGAGACTTGTGCAGAAGAGCGACAGCGTCCTCTTCCAAATCACACAACTCTAGATATCCTGAAGAAGACTCCGTGTGTGGATGGATTTCCAAATAACCCACCTAGTCTTCTGCATTGTCACAAAGGTAGTAGAGATTCTTTCAACCAGACCAGAAATTGCCATCTGACAGAGCAGGAAGATATTAGCCAGAGAAGCCTGAATGCTGCAAACGACCTAAAACTAGATGGATGTACAAAGTCGGTTGATAAGACTCTTCAAGAAGTGCTAAATTTGCTGAAATTACATGATGTGGGGCAAGCCCAGCTGGGGAAATTGGAATACCAGGTTTCATCTCTGAGGGATAAATTAAAGGTATGGTAGTGTTTCACTCTTGGCAGATAGCGTAGCTCCCACTGTTCCTCCTAAAAGTGTAGAAGTTCCGTGACCCTGTGGTGAATTTGATTTAGGGATGTATCGGTGGCATGTTCCCAGAAAGTAAGTTTGGCCACCAGAGGTCAGGCCCTACCCAGAAAAGGCAGCTTTGAGCGGCAGCTCCAGAGGAGAGCCTTCAAACGCTGTGTGCAGATCAGTAATCCGGAAAAAGAAAGTAAGAAACTGCATGCAGTCCAGGTGGAAACCAGTGTGGATTTGGCAGAATCTGAACTATATGTGAGAGCCTCTGCATTTTGGTTTCCTTCTCATTTTTTTTTATCTTCTTCGGATTTAGTATAGCTTGAGATGACTGCATTGGTTCATCAAACCTGATGTTTCTCCAGGATCACCTAGCTTTTGCAGGCAGTTCAGTCTGCCTGACAAGACATATGATGCTGAAAACATTTCTTTCTTTAGAGGAAAGGTCCTGGAGCTTTCTGCAAGCAGTGGGTTAAATTTCAAATTTGGTAGTGTTGGTAGTACATGGGGTCAGTGTGCAGACTTGGGAGATACGACACTGTAAGACTTCATCTAAGGTCTGGAATTATAAATAACATTAGCAAAACTGCACTGACTTCATATTCCAGTGCAACCACCTTAATAATAGAAATTTAAAAAATGAACCAGGTGCTCTCAAAGCAGCCTTTCCAAGGGAGAGAAAGCTACTGGCCCCATGAAATTCTACTACTGCTGTTGAAGTTCTTGGGTACTACAGTGGAATGCAACAGACCCCTAAGATTGCTACTTCTAGATCTGAAACAGGGAGTAAGTGAAATTGCACTAATGGCAGAAGGTGCAGAGATAATCAGCTCGCATATCTGCTTTAACAGGCATGGAAATCCAAAGAGGAATACAGACAGATTAAAATATCGAAGCATATTTTTATTTTAATTAACAATGTTATTTTGAGATCAAAATGCTGTACCAAGGGTTAACTTTCAAACTGATTAACAGCAAACTGATTTGTTATTAAGAGTGATTTGAAAGACAGCAACAAACTCATGCAAAATGGCTTGATAACTGCAAATAACATTTTTCTTTCCATTCCATCAGCAGCTAAAGATGCTTCATTACAAACATTCATCCATGGAAAGCTTAATGGTGGAGACAGTACTGGAAAGTTTTGACTTTTTAAATGCTGACTGTAGTGCTGATGAGCTTTCGTTATTTGGAAGCATAAGAACAGCCAGTATCAGGTATGTATCTGCAGCGCTTAGTTACAGGGGACAAGGGAAAGGGCTAAGGAGGCTCCTCCCAGGAACTCATACCGATTTGCTATACTTGGCTACATAACAGTTGTGCAGAGCTGCTCTTGGGATGAAGATCCAGGATAGAAACCCATTTTTTTGAATACTCTGAGATTTATAATTCAGAATACTTACTGAATTGAAATGGCAGAAAACTTAAACTGAACTTACAGAAAATATTGCAGAAGGACACCCGCAGGATACGATGGAAGTCTTAACATGTAGGGCTGCTAGCAGCAGGCTGCAGGAAACAGGCTTGTCTGGGTGATGCTGAACAGTCCTGCACTAGCTGGGGAGAGAGCTATGAGTAACTTACACACCTCTTCTACCTGTTCTTTCTTTTGAATTCAGTTTTGCAAGTTGCGTAGCATTGAAACTTGTGTTCCAGAGTTACAAACCTGATCCTGGGGGACTTGTTACACTCCCAGTATCATTGAGTTGGGAGAACACCAAGAGATGGGTCTGTTAGATGTGCTGCTTTTGCAGGTCAGCTGCTGCAAATGAGCCAGCAACTCAATTCACATTATCTTTTGCTAGTATTGATTCTCCAAAATGTGATTTTGTGGGATCAGCTGATCTGGTATTACTGTCCTAGAATGAGTTATAGAAATAAAGTTCTTAAGGTTTTAAAAAGTGTTATAAATGCAATAAAATATTGTTTTATCTGTTAAATGCCACCTGGTTTGTACTTTTGAAACTTGCTTGAAGGCTACTATTGAGACTGCACATCTCCATATTTATTTAGTGATGAGAGTTTTAACTTTTTTTTTTTCCCCTCATCTCAACAGCACATACAATGACAACACGCTTCAGTCCGTGAGCTGTGACATGAGAACAGAAACAAGAGATGTAACTACTGGTGATGACAACTTGGACACACTTTTGATCACTCACCTGAAGCTGTGCAAAGGTCTTTTACAGGTGAGGAATAGCCTGTGGGCTTCCTGGGCATTGGTTACAATTGTTGTTTCTGATTACAGACAAAAGTGAATATGTAGCTGGTTCTTTTATAAAATCAGAAAGACTCAGAATAGAAATGGAGTCCAAAAAATGCTCTGTATACATGTGTATGCACAGAGCATGTCATATGAAACTCTGCTGCTTCTTTTCAGCCTCTGGATTTTGCTGAAGCTCTAAGAACTACCTTTGTGCTCAAAGCAGGCTGCTAATGCAGAGGGACAGATCTGGGTTGAATTGTGTATCGACAACAGCTGATCATTTTTTAATGAAAGACAGACTGCTACTACTAGAAAGAAACTGGTAGCAGTAGGGCAAAAAAGAACTCTTATCTCCCTTTGAGACCTCATTCCTCAATTAATTTTAGTTATAGTGTTCCAGCCCATTATTGTCCTCAGAGTATTAGCTCTGCTGAGGATGGGCAGCAGAGGACAGTGTAACTCTTAGCAGTGGTCTGCCACACAGTTGTCAAGGGACAGGGGCAGGGAAGAATGTCAAATGCTGGACAGCCTGTCCCTGCAGAATGTGACTTATCCTGTTCTGCTGAGCAGCTTTGCACGCAGAAGTGACCTGTCTGTGCTGTGAGGGGAAAAGAGGCCTGAGAGCAGCTGGTGTGCTTTCTCACAGATTTTAGCAGTTTGATTCTAAGAAACAAATCCTCATTCATCTTGAGTTTGATACTGCGTTTGTTTCAGCTACTGAGATAAGTATGTTGCATTTCAGAAACTGAGGTCACCAAATGTAGCCCAGGTTGTCCAGGAGAACATTCTGGAAGAAGTATCAGAGCAGACACGAGTCCTGGGGGATGTCTTGGATATGTCTGTTGAAGAAAGTGAGTAACTGCATTATTCCAAGGCATGCCAGAGATGTGAGAGGTACAGGTAACTCTGAGCTTCCCCAGACACGTCAAGGTTTCATTCTAAATTCCTTACAAACGTTCACATAATTAAAACAGCTCTTATATCTAGATTCTTAGAAAAAACAGGGGCTCATCATTTGCTTGTTTTTTTCCCCTGCAAGGAAGGAAAAGATTTGAAGAAGTTTGTCTTGAAGAAATAGTAGCTGAACTGGTATATATTAGAAACAGGGATGTTATGATGGAGATTGTAGTCAAAGAACAGCAGAATAGCCTTAATAAAATCCTCTTTTATATCTGTGCTTTTACTTAGTAAGCAAACAGCCCAAATTCTGTACGTATTTGCAAGAAAAGTTTGGTGTGCAATTTTTCCCCTCTCAGGCCTTCCCACTACTAAATTCTTCCATTGACTGTTGAATATGACAAAATGATAAAGGCACAATGGGAGACTTTGAAGGCTTTGGTTCTCATCTCAGTAAATATGGTGGCAAGAATGCAAATTTTAGTTGGAAGCATTTGCTGGCAGATTTTATCCTGAAGGATGTGAGAATAAACTGTTCCCTGGAGTGGAGCTCCAAAGGGCCTTCGGTACAACGTGATGAGGAAAGTGTAGGAGTCTTAAATGCAGAACACAAGGTCCACAGCTCTGTAGGTAAGAGGGTTGATAGGGTTTAAATGATAGCAAGAAACCGTGGGGTATTGCTTCAAGTGCTCTTCTGAAGTGTTTGATGAAAAGAAAGCCTGCCTCAGCCTGTGCACTGAGGTTCAGGGTGCTCCACTTGTGCAGATACGTACAACAGGATCTAAAATGCTTGGAAATGGCACATCTCTTGCTGCAGAAGTGGAAGCAGTTAAACTCACAGAAAGTTCTTCTGAAACTTGACTCAGATTCTGGGATAAAATGAATAACAAGAGGCAGAAGAGCTGCTAGGCATTTCCTTCGGGTCTTGTAATGACAGTTTAGGAGCTCAACCCAAGCTTGGTGAAATCAATGCTTGCAGATGTTAAAATACTGGCAGCAAATCTCCAGCTTTGAACAAAACCATCTATATAATGCAAATACAAGTTAATGCTGACACATCTCTAGATGTGCCATCTGGTGCCTAATTTCTCATGTAAAATCCAAAATCTGTGAGAGCTCACTGGCTTTTTAAAATGTGATTTTTTAATATTTTTTTTTTTCAGTTATTCAGAAGACTAAAAAGAAGAAACACTATCTGAAAATCTGGAGTGATCTTGCAGAGCCTGGCAGCATCTTGTTTGCTTCAGCAGAAAGATTCCGTCATGCACTCAAATACATAATGATGCTCAAAGTGAAGGAAAAATACCCTGGTCAATTAGAAGCAGGTACCAGTCTGTCCCTTGAGCACAAGACCACTCTGGTTTCATTTTATTGCATAGCTAAAAATTGTCCTTGTGCATTTAAAAAATAAAACTCTTAATTACTTGTTTTAAGCAGCTTACATCTAACAAACCTTTTATTTTCTCCTTTGTTCTTTTCCATGTTACTTCCAGTGTTGCAGAGGTTGCTAGAGCAGATCATCACCTGTGATGGGTTGCTCCCCTCTCTGTACCTCCAAACAGAACTGGTTACTTTATTCCAATTTTGTCACTACCTGGAGGAACACCACATCACCAGCCTGGAGAAACACTTGGGAAAACTTGCTAAAGAAGGTGATGGCAGTACTTGAACTGGAGTTCTCTTGAACTGAGGAGCCCAGCAGCTGGCTGCTGAGTAGTAACCTGGAGAGCAAGATATGCTTTCAGAACAGAAAAGAGCCCAACCATTGCATTGACAATTTGTTGCCATTTTAATTCCCCTTATGCCCATGTAATTTTGATTAGAACAGGAAAGACACGCTTGACTCCCATATCTAACTGGGTAGAAATAAAACAGAGGTGTGAAGGATGGGCTTATCTTAAGTGCCCTAAAAAGTGAGTTCTGTGATATTCTGAAGATAAGGCAGAAACAAAGTTGGCAGCAACCTGCAGCTGGATTCAAGGGCTGAGAAACTGTCTGTAGCTTTGTGTGACTCGCAGCTGTAATCAGACACAGATAATGGCAATAAAATTTCAGAGGTTACTAATGTGCGTTTTCTAGCACGAGGTAGCCAGTGTCTTGCTGAAGCCTAGCCCAACATGTGAAAGTACTTAGTTTGTATCAGAAAATAATTATTTTAAAAATAGTCCTGATATTGGCTGCATCTTTAGTCTGATGCAAATGACTCATCTGGTGGGGGACGAAGAACTTGTGCCTCGCTAGTCCGTGCAAAGACCTGGAATATTCTTCAACTTGGCACTGTAAATCCAGTGCCCGCTTTTGTATTTTTTTAAAGAGAGTTTTCTCTTTGACCAGTACAGCCAGATCTTTCTGGGATGTTTAAAAGTATTGTGCTTGATTGTGTTTTCCTTACAGTAGGACTAGACCGCTCGTCCTCACCTCCGAAGGTGCAGGGGTTGCTTTGCACTCCACGTTCTCCTCGGGGCGCCCGGGTCCTACGAGGCCCAGGGCATCTCTGCGCCCGGGGAACTGATCCTGGGAGAGCCAGGGCCGGCCCCGCCCCGCGGGGGGGTGAAACAGATGGGGAGGGACTGACACCAGGCTGGCCAGAGGGGCCGGCGGCCCGATTTGCCTCCTGCCAGGCTCGCCTTGCTCACTGGCCACGCGAGTAACCACCCGTGGCTAAAGGAGACTGAGTAGGGGGGAGTTTGTCTTCTCTTGGTAACGTCATCTTTTGTCAGCTAGTGAGGCCGAGTCCTTTTGCTTGCAGTAATGCTCATCGAGGAGCTCCAGTGCCCTGGGCGGCTGAAGACTCTTAAAAAATTGAAAGGAAAGCGACTGAACAAACTCCAACCTCTACCACAGACTTTACGGCTACTTGGGATTTTGCAGCTGGACGACAACCACCGCGTCAGCAAAGCAGCCACATCCTGCCTCTGCCGTGCAGCTGCAAACAAGAACTTTAGGGAAAAGGTGAAGACCACAGTTCTTACCGGGGTTTCTAGATAGATGCTGGAAGACATGGAATTTGGTTTATCCCCGAGTAGCACTATTGTCCTCTCCACACCCATTAATCTGTTCGCTAGAACCTAAACTACATCAGTGCTCAAGTGATTTGTCTTCATCCTTTGTTCAAGTTAAGATGGGTAAAACAGTGCTGATGGCACTCTGAATTCTAGTGCTCGGTTATGCTTAAGCTTACAAACCCTTTCTGCTATTTTTTTCTTTCTTCTCTTTTTTTCCTTTAGGCTCTCATTTTTTACACTGATGTTTTATCTGACTGTGACACAAAACTTCAGCAAGGTGCATGTTTGGCTCTTAAAAACCTCAGAGTAAGTATCTACAGCTCTACTTTTGCTGTGTGTGTCTGGCCAAAATTGGTAGATGTAAACATTTATTTAACTTTTTTTTTTTTTTTTTTAAGCTGGTAGGGTTGCTTTTCCGGCTTCCTTCTAGTTGGAATTAATGAATTCTTTGGCTGCCAAACTATTAATGCTATTATTCAAAAGGCAGCAGGCAGAGGGAGCTGCAGGCATCTTGCAGTGTCTCAGTTTGATCTGACAGGCACCGTACAATGGCAGGAAGGATGTTTTCTAACTCCTGCAATATTGTCAGTGATGAAGGACAACAGACACTGTCTGACTGGGGGGCATCTAGCATGGAGGAAAATGAGCAACAGTCAGCTATATATGGAGTCAGCTTTAACTGGAGAAATTTAAAGTTAAGTCAGTTCATTTTTGTTTAACAATAGCTGATTATAGTCAGAAAATAAAAGTATTATTTGCACTGCTATTATAAGAAACTGTCAGAACAGATGCAAAGCTTTCCAACAGCCACAAGTCTGTAATAAGTTTGCACACAAGGGATTATTGTGAGCACAGTTTCTACAAACATGTAGGCACAAGATAGGCCCAACAAATGAGTCTTATTCTCAGTCAGATCTGCAAAGCAACTGTTGTCCTTGCACAACCTGCATTAACTCTTTGAGCGAAGGTCCTCACTGGTTTATGCTAGCTTAATGGCCCTGCAGCTCTGACCCCTGCCCTAGAACTCTTGTCCTTTTTCATGCCCTAAAACAAGAGAGAAAGGAGCAGAGGTGAGATCACGTTCAGAAAAATCAACTGCAAGCTGATACATTGCAAAGAATGTTCATCAAAATGCTTGTTGAAAAGCTACCATTACAAATTTTTCTTTTCTCAAACAGGGTGTTGAGAGTATTGAGCAGGTTGCCCACCTGTGCCAGTCTGAAACAGAGGAGGTTAGGAATGCAGCCAGGGAAACAATGCTGTCCTTTGGTAAGTCTTTCACACAACCTCAAAATACAGATTCTGAAAAAATAATGTGAAATAGTGCAGAACCGTAACAGGCCTGAAGTTCAGCCTGAACACATCTAGGATGATGGAAATGTTTCATACAGTTGAGATAAACTTTGTATCACGTATAATAACCCAAGGCCCCCCAGTTAGTTTGTAGAACCAGACCAAAGGGATTTCTGTAGGAGAAAGTGCTTTAAGAACCACGAAACTTCTTCAAAAGGTGGCAGATAAGTACGGAAAGTGCTGCCAGAGTACTTCTTAACAGTAGTACTGGCATCAGCAGTTTTCTCCTAGATTTTGTAAAAAGGACATTTGAACCTGGCAGATCACAGTACAGCTGCTTCTAGCTCTGAGATTAGCTCACTGACTTTTATATGTCGGGACAACAGTGGCCTCTTTGGACCAGTAATCTCTTCTAGCCACCCATAGACCGACTGGTTACTTCTCATTTTGATGTTCCTATTCTTCAGACGGCTCTGCTCTGAATGCTGGGGGGGTAAAGAGTACAAACAGAATGGTTTTACACTGGCTCATTACCTGTTATTTCACCTGAATTTGACAGATCTACAGTGGAGTTGAGCTGCTGCTGCAATGTCAGTGGTGCCGCTTTGCTCCTGTCCAGAATTTGTGAGGGCACAGGAGCGCCCAGGCTCAGTTCCTCAGCTGCACAGCTGCTGGAGAGGATGTCCAGCTTAGGAGACAGTCATTTCCCTGTTCTGTTCTTCCTAAAAACACTTTTAATTCATTCCTGCTTAGTCCTGGGGATCTCCAGACTTGCTTCACAGAAACACTCAGATTCACATGTATTGCAAAACAAGTTTTCCAACTGTGATGCTCCAAATGGTTACTCATGTGGAAATGTTTACAGAAGGCCTGACTTTCCCTGGTGACTTCTAGCAGTTTTTGGAAAACTATTCCCTTAGAGATGTGTTTGTCAGTATTGAGAGGTCTCGTTAGTTCCCCACAAGGTCAGAACAGCAGTATTTCTAGAGTATCACATTTTGCAGGGTTTCTAACCGCTTTCTCTTCCTCAGCATGGGATGTGTTTTCTCTTTCTCCATAGGTGAAAAGGGACGGCAAGCCTTTGAGAGAATGGACAGGATTTGCTGTGAATTAAGAGAAGCTGTACAACAAGAGGCTGAAATAGAAATCACAGTATTTTAGTGGTAGAATAGGAGGAGCTGTATCATATTGTCCTCGCAGCCACAACTGGGTACCTACCTGAGGATTTTGTTTTGTTGATCAGTGTCTGGTTTACTTACGCCCTGCTCTGTAAATGCTGCATACTGACAGAGAACAAGTTTGTTTCCAAAGCGGGGAGAGTTTGCAGCCTACATCAAGTAGACTGGAATATGTCTCCTCCCTGTCTCTCCACACATGATGAAACACCAAGTGCTGGGTGAATGAAAACTAGGATCTCTTAGAACATGTGACCAGGCTGTCACTTGAGTTATAATCCCCATCTCACTGGAATTAGCTGTCCCTGCTCAAACTGTAAGGCAAATAGGATCTACTTTCCCATAAAGTTTTTGATTAATTTGGCCTTTCTCGAAGAGGACAGGAATGATCCCTCTCCAACAGTCCATCTAGAAACTGGCAGGTAACAGATCATTTACAACTGCCGTGTACATTAGAAAAAAACCTAGCAGCATTGCTTAGTGCTTTTCTATCCTTGTACAGTTTAGTTGCAGAAGGACAGCTTGCTACTTCAAAAGCCAATTTCTTCATAATCGTTGCAACTTAAGACAGGTTCAAGCAAGGACTGACAAGGATGTGTACTGAGTGCCTATACTCAGCAGTTTACAACAGAAAGGGATGTCTTGGATTTGCCATCTGCAGGTCTGACAGACATATACAGAGCTGTCTGTAAGTTGGGGTATTTTTTTGTATTTTTAAAAAATTTATTCATTTAGTCATAGATCAGGACTTCTCATAATCATACACCCCTTGTCAGGCTCCTTACTCAACACTTGGGTAACTCAGTGAGCGTAGCCATAAAGAGAAGCCTGGTTTTGGGTAAAATACTTGAAAGGGTTTGGCTTTGTGTGTATATATTTTTATACATATATATATATATATATATATATATAAAACTTTTCTGTTTGGTATTTATTTGTTGGATTTCATACTGTTTTTTAAAATTTTAATAAAACATTTGAGACAAGTTCCTGCAAGTGCTTCATGCTGATGTGCTTGTAGCACTGTGGGCAGGTATAAGGCACTAAAACCCCCTGAGGGAATTACGATATTTAACTGCACCCCTCCTAGCTGATCTGCGGCTCTGTGCTGTCTATGAGGGTTCAGGCTTGTGCCATGCAAACAGGCTGAGCTCCTGCTCTGCTGCTGGCATTTAGTTTGGAAACAAACAGGCAGCTTGTTTACACAGTTGAAGTCTCTACTAATGAGCTCTGAGTAGCAGGGCCACTCTGTTTCAGTCATGCTGTTCTATAGCAAAGTAAAACTTAATGGGCTGCTTCTCTGTGCTGTGACTCTGCTTTTAATTTACAGATTTATTTAAAAGCAGGGGAAAGAAGTTCCTTGGTAAATTCTCTACCTCCCCCAGGTGCCTCTCCCCTACTCCTCCTCTTCAGCACAAGGGGGAAAGGGAAAAGAGAGGGGGGAGCCCAGTCAACTTTGTGCCTGTGCTGGAGCCAGGGGCATGGTGCTGGCAGTGCCTAAAAACTCACCCCACCTGTGCTAAGACCACTTTACAAAACTACTGAAAATTCTCTTTCAAGTGCCTTTCTTCCAGGTGTACCTTTCCTTGAAAATATGAACAAAAAGGTAAATCAATCCAAACACCCCGGGGCCTCAGATGGCTGCAGCCATCCAACACCAAGGGGTAACGCTACCCCCTCCCTCCCAATCCCAGCTTCATCTTCAGCACAACTGAAACTCCTGCAGAAAAACAGCCGTGCTGGAGAGTTACTACAGTTTCCTGTACTACATCAATTCCTGAGCCAAGATACTCAGACAGTTAAATTCTAGCGTGAAAGACTAGAGGAGAGAGATGTGCGCTCGGGGAGAGACACGGGCTACTTGTTTCACTTGTTCTGTTCTAGTGCAGCTCTGACCTACACCACCTCCAGCAGCATTTAAACCACTTTACAACACAACCCCCAGAGATCAGGCTAGCCCCCATTTGCAAATGGTTCAAAACAGGAGCCAGTAGCTCTGCCCTAGGAAGACAGGAAGCAGTAAGACTCACATGTACATTCTTTAAAAAAAGAATTTTATTGTTACAACTAAAATGAGAACTGAAAACTTGTATGGGAAATTGAAAAACTGTACAATTTTACTATAACCTGGGAGGTCTTTGCAGCGGCTTACACAAAAGACAAGATACCTGAAAATGTATTATACCAAAACATTTCGCTTTTTTTTTGTTTTTTTGTTTTTTTTTTTATTATTTTTTTAAAAAGTTTAGTCTATGGCAATCTGTAAAAAAGAAAGACCTGATGAGTAAATATTTGCTTAAGGCATATAGCAGAGCAGCTCACTAACTTTCTAACAAGTTTAACATGGATGTTTGTCCATTTTCCAAGAACAGGTTAACCAATACACCCACTTTGAAACGCTACTGTATATACACACCCGAACTACTACATACATATACAGGACATCGAAACAAAAATGTTTACAGTTCAGTATCCTAAACCTTATACACACCTCACTGGGCTTGTGGGATATTCCACTGTCTATTCCAGGACAGTGTAAGTAAGTTCTGGATTTGGAACAGATGAAAGAAATGGGTAGGAAGGGGGATGTTCAAAACTCGATCATCTGCAGAAACTTTTTCTTGCTAGAATAATTTGCAAGTGAGTTTCTCTGGATTCAAAGGAAGGATGCTTTCCTGTCAAGCCTAAAATCTAAAACATTCCATCTTGGGAACACTATGGAAGTGGGTTTCGTTTCTTTGTTTTTAAACGGGCCACCACAGCAGCAGCCTGGATTTCTGCAGATCAGAGCATGAGCAGATCTCGCACAGGAGGCTTTCCTCTCCCTCCCGCCGCGCGGCTCTGAAGGCAGCACAGCCAGTCAGACCCCGGAGCCACTGCGCTAGTGCTCGCCTGAAGTGACCGGGGGTGAGGTGTGAATAGGGCTTACTAAACTCTCTGGAATGTCTGTACTACACTTACTCAGCTGAAATGAACCATGCTCAACAACCGGGTTACACTGAGTACGCAGAAATTCAATAGGAAGTCATGCCAAGTCTTAGGCGAGTACATGGTATCTGATAAACACCAAATCAGTCTATCGCTGAACGGAGATACTTTCAGCAACACCCTTTGAACCACAGCCACTTAATGATCAGTTCATGCAAATATAATTTGGGCACATCAGGAAGCAGAAATATAAGTTCTTTCACCTTTCAAGCACATGGTATTTAATCAGGACACTAGAGGACTTTACATGCATTGTAATACAAACGGGGTACAAACGTTGCCTTAGAACAGTATTCTACCAGATGATGGAGAGGATAGTGGGGACAAAGCAATCACATACTGTATCTTAAATACACAGATGAGCCATTATATATTACCATTTTTCTATACTCATTTTTCTTGTTTCCAATATTATAACTAAATATTGACTGATTACAACATTCCTCCTTTCAAGTACTGGTCTGACCAACAGTCTCACAGGTAAAGTATGGATTCCCAGTACTACCTGAGGATTTATTATTGTACTTTTGAAAAGCCCTTGATGCAAGCTTAACAAAACACAAAATAGAAATAACTCCCACCCCCACCCCCCACCCAGTTCACCAACTTATTCACTGAAGAAGAGCTACACCTACAGACAGCTTTGCAAAAATAAATACGGAGTGGAGAGAGACTTACATCAGATACTCCATAGCGATGGTGGTTAAGTGCTATAAATCTAGAAAGACTTTAAAAATAAAAAGAACTGATTAGTAACACTGTTGCAAGTCAGCTGTCATGGCTTCCTTTCAATCACTACAACTTTCAGTAGTGAGTTTACTCCCACCCTCTGCGCCATGACACAAGCCAAGAAATCTTTGCTATTACTGTTTAAACTATTAATAATTTGGTACTAACAAGAGGAACAGCATTGACTAAGATGACGAGCGCAATGCCGACTTCCAGTCACAGTTCCACCAATGCACCCAAATCCTTATTTACAAGCACTTTACATTATTCAAGTCCCGGGCCTGCAGAACAGGACCAGGCTGAGCAAAACAACGTAGACACAGCGTGGCACAGGACAAACCCACCCATCTCGCTTGGCTTGCCTCAGGACAGCGACAACCCGGCTGCAGAGGGGCAAGCCTCCCCCTCTCGCACCACCACGTCGGGTAACTGCCGAAGAGCGTATCTTCAAGCCGAACTAAAGCCAGTATTTTAAATCGTTGCTTTAAAAAAAGCAGAACAGACAAACGCTTGCATCATAAGCCAACCGATACGTTCACCGACCAACACGTCTTCTGTTGAACTTTTTATGTCTTAAGGAAGCTGCCACGGCATCAATTACTCTGGATTTATTGAAATGCTTTCCCGTTCATTGCCTGCAATGCCTCCAAGCGTGTTAGCTCTCCGGCCCTTGCAGGAAGCATGCTATTCCTTCTGGAGCAGGTGTAGAGTGAAACTGCATTTTACATTCCAAATGATGAGGTTTCAGAACTGGTCCTTCTGAATGCCAACTGCACAGCTGAAAAATGCTGGTGGACATGTTTTGGTTGAATCTCCCCTTCCTGTTTCTCTCCCTTCCCTCAATCTCTCCTAACCCAGAATAGGAAAGTAAAAACAGCTTTACAAAGGATGGTGCAATGTAAAAAGGCATATGTGCAAGTAGAGTGCAACAAAAGTCAATGAGGAGATACACTTATTAAAAAAAAAGAAAAAAAAAATAGAAAAAACAAAGAGCTTGACATGTTGGGATACCCTGAGCAAATGCAGAAGCCTGTTTCTATAAACACATGTAAAACAATAAGCTCTTTAAGAACAGTTATGCCAAGATTAAATATATCAATACCACAGGCACTGCCCACAACTCAGTCTTTAACGATGAAGCAAGTTAAAAAAAAAAAACAAAAACAAACCAAACCAAACAACCAACCACAAACACCTCTCCCCCAACACCCTCCCCTTCCAAAAAGTTTACATTCTTCAGGTATGTGGGTTTCTTTCTCTGTTTTTGGGAAATTGTCAATGTAAGTCATGTATTTGGTTACAACACTTGGAGAGTACAAGCAAGTTTCACTTGTGCCTAGCTTTTCTGAAACACAAAAGAAAAAGAACTGGCTTTTTAGAAAAGGCTAAAAACAACAATGTGTTGTAATTCTATTATTTAGTTTTTAAAAAAAAATAAAAGAAAAAGGAAAACAGACTATTTGGCATTTTCTCTGCTTACTCCTGAATATTTTAAGGCCCTGAGATTAGAATATTATGTTCTTGGGACCACAGGGCTAGATAAAACCCTAGTGCATCAATTCTCTCTTTAAGCCCTAACCAAAGTTCTGGCCTTTCAACCTAAGATCTACCTCCACTGAGACAAGGCTCCCACGCCTCCATTAGCTTGCTTTCAGAGAAGCTTATTACAAACCGATCAAATCGTTGGTGTTTTTTGCAGAGTCGATCTTGCTGGCACGTCCATCAATGAAAACACACCCTGTAAAAGAGATAAGCTCCTGCCGTGAGGAAAGTGAACATGCATATATTCACTAGAAATGGCTTCCAAGTTGTCATCATGTTCTCATCATCCTCCTCGGAGTTTTCTGGCTTCACCGACTCTTCTTTGTGGGGCGAGACACGCAGATTTTCACCAACAGTTCTCCTCCGAATTTCAGTGTCTTGACTAGTGCTTAAAGACAAAGAAATAACTATTCAGTACTGGGTTCACCACGTAGGAGAGAAGCCACGCAGACTCTCCAAAAGCATGGCCTCATCCACTGAACACAAGGCTGGAAAGCTCTTGCCACTGGGAGCTGCAGACAACAAACCAAAGCCCATCACCCATTACTACTGTTCTGGCTATTACAGGTTTAGAACAGGGCCTGTCATCAAAAGCCACGCCTGGGAGTATCTTGTGGCCTTCAAAGAATAAGCTGACTTAGTTTTAAACACCACCTACTCCTGCTGCATATCACAGATCTGCTACTTGCACCGAGACAAGCAGTGAACCAGCACAAGTTAAACCTACATCCAGGCCAGGAGAAAATCAAGGTTCTAAAATCAAGCACCTGCCCCCAAAGCCAGAAAACTGTGGAACTGTGGTTGCTCGTGCAGCCCGAACTTAAGAGAGTGGCTAAACGCACGGCAAGAGCTTTTAGTGGTGGAACTGAAGACCTCCTCTCCTTCAGTACTCTCTAAACATGGCTTGCTTTGTAGATACTAGACCTCCATCCTGGTGGCAGTATCCTGACACCCAAAGAGGCCTCTTAAGTGAGCAGGAACTTTTATATCTACTGTACAATTTCTTCCAGCTGAATTTAGCAAGCAGAGCATCACCATGCCGTGAGAACCAGAAGGGTGGTAACCAGCAGGGAGATGATTTGCAGGGGGACTTCCTACACATCTGCTGACAGCTTAACTGTAGAACAACTCAGGAACCTCCCATCCCAGACACCAGAACATCCGGGCAGGAAAACAAATGTGCTTAAGACTTCTTCCCTTACCTCTAACAGCACAGTGTCCATTTCCTACCCTTCCCTCTCCTCCAGCCTCAACTGTCCCACCCCGTTTCACACCAGGCTACTTCTCCACTCCTTCCCCTCCTGCCGAGCAAGTTCCACTTTCCCCCCTTCTAGACTCACTGTCCCAGACACGAGGACAAGAGCGATGACCACAAAGGAGGCCTGATCCTGCAGCAACAGTACTGGTATGGAATGAGGGAGCTCAAGATTCGAATCCTGGACTTCCCTAGTATGCCCAAAACATCATATAAGGCAGGATTTAACTTCAGCAAAGTAAAAGGTAGATGTCTAGTCAGCCTCTACCATCAATGAAGACAGACAGTTCCAGAGAGTGCAAGTCCAACCTCACACAAAGGACTATAATAAATGAATTTAATTGAGTGTCTGAATTCTTTAGAGCTGGACACATCTTACGTTCATTTGAACTACACTCTGTAAAGTATTTCCAGGAAATCATTTATTCACTGAGAAATTCAGATTTATATAGCTACTAAGACACAAGACACCAGCTTTAAATCCACACTCTTCATCAGGCATGGAAAGCATTAGCTGGCAACATTCCAGGCAAATATTCTGGTAATAGAATTATATTGTCATGGAGGGAAGAAAGAGGGAGATGCTACCACTGCAACACTTCCTTCTTTTGTAGCTAAACCTCCATTTGTATTCATTCCTATTTCCAAGATTTCCTTTCTTTTGAGTAAAGATGTTTGGAATTTCAGTATCTCACTTCTACAACCTCCCCGAAGAATTAAGAAAAGTTCTGAAACATTTCTGTTTTATTTCCTTGCCTCCAGCAGAATTTGGAGGGAAACAACAGGTTCAGCTCACGGTCTCAGCCTCGGCCTCGCTACTGTGTGAGATTAAGAGGAGGTTTAGTTTGAATACAGACTACTAGAAACACATTTTACTAATCTCCAGTTCCCAGAGCCACACCCCACCACACTGGTTCAGCTAAATTAAATATATTAAGGCTGCCAGCTGCATCTGTTGAAAAAGCTCTAGAGTTCTGTGGAAAATACTAAAATTTGATATTTTATTCCAGTATTCCTATGGGAAGCTGAAAATGTCTTGTTAGGAGACCATCTAGCAGGGGAACATTAAACCTTCCCTTGATTATCCCTGGTGGGTGTAGGGATTTTTATTTCTATTTTTAAAATTTCGATTTTTTTTGGTTCTGTGTGGCATTCATTTGGTTATTCCGAATAGAACTAGTTAACATGCAGGATGCCAGCAACACCATGGCATGTGGGTTTCAACTAGCTCCACGCCACTCCGATAAATCAGGAGTGACATCTAGTGGTTAGGCAGGCAGGAACCTCAGCTTCTCCATATGCAGCATTTCTGCACGTTTATTAGTCTTTACAGTTTAGGCTACAATGACAGCTAAAGAGTTATCTGATCATGAGCCCCCTTCTATTCCTTTCATCAAAAGTAGCTTAGCTTGCAACTAATTTCACATTTCTAAGTGCGGCTAAAGCTAGTCAGCCTAGTTGTCAGCTGCATGACTAATACCACCTCTAAGTAGTGACAGAGCTCCTCTGTAACTTAACATACTCTGCATGTAAATCAAGACTAAACCACCTCGTTATGCTGTCACTTTTTCTTTTACTCTAGCAGGATCTCATAAGAGGCCCTAGTTATGCGTGAAGTTAAAAACATAAGCATTAAGAGCTTTACTGAAAAGGTTTTGGGTCAGAACTACTACGACACTGACTCGATCAAGGCCCGTTCAGGCCCTTCGGTATGAAATGCCATTTATGAGCAAACGTCCTGCAACCCCTCAATGCCATAAGCCAAGGGGACAGCCTTCCTGGGACAGTTAAAAGTGGGAAACTAAATTAATTACCTGTCTGTGATCAGTGGCACAGATGAACAAGCTCTGCCATCCGGAACCATCTCTTCCACAGTGCTGACCGAACATCTAATCTCCTCCTCTACTACGTGATGTTTAGGAAAGAATTCTGTCTGTTCATGCATCCTGCCGTTGTGCATTTCTGAGGTTCGCTTTGGTGGTCTGGGAGGTGGTGGGGTGTGCTCGGGTGGTGGGTCCAGGTCTTCATTGGAGAGCTCTTTCCACTGCTCCTTCAGGGAAGGAAAAGCCCTATTAAGCTCTCCTCTACGTAAGCTACTATAACCTTTAGCATGGCTGGGTCTTTATTGTCTACCTTTTCGTTCATTCTTAGAGTGGCTGTTCATTTGCATTGGGAAAAACAAAAAAACCAACCAACCAAACAAAAAAGACACAAGAACTCCAAACCTAAGCTACATCCAGTCCACAGAAGACATCTGCTACAAGCACATGAAATTTTAATCTACTTCTGGCAAATTTAAATAGCACAAAATACAATCCGTGTTGCTAGAGTTCTGCTTACCATAAACCAGACTTACAGGATTTAATCACAATACTTAAACTTCTGGCATATTAGAAAATTTTTATTATCTGACATGAAAGACAAGTCCAATGCAGCCAGTCTACACCCCAATTACAGTGTTAAGGCCATCTGTTAACCTACAGGTACTTTTTTGGAGGTTTTTATATACAACACCTTAGGCTGTGACAAACTGTAAAGAGCTGTATTTCGGAACTCCCTAATATCAAAATTTATTGAAGCCAAAGCAAGTATGAAATATGAAGTTTGTTTCTGTTCTGTTCATCCCGCATATTTGCTACAGCTAAACCAGAGCTGCAGCTCACTACACTAGGCTGTGTGGTCAGTGGTACTCACTTGCACTGAAGCATCGCCCATAATGAATTTTGCCCCTTCAATAACAGCCAGGTAGGAGAAACGGAGCTGATCAGCCGTCTGTATGAGGCCCATCCTGTACTTCCTCATTTCTAGGAGAACCTGTGTAACATCCACAGAAGAAGGATCTTTCCGCTTGTCCATCTGAAGATAAAAATTTGAAACAAGATTTACAGTCTGGTAAGATTCACTACAATGACTCATTTTGTAGTAGGACCTTCAGCCTACCCTCCACACTACAGAACTGATAAGTAGTAAAAAACTGGTATCAGCAGCTAATTATTGGGTGTCTATAAAGACAGAGAGGGGAAAACACATTGGGCCTCTAACATGTTTTATGTTTTTCCCTTTTTTGCCTTTCTTGTTTTCAAAATATAATTAGAAAAAAAAAAAAAAAAAAGGACATTTTAATCTAGGCCCGACTTCTGCGTGTTAGTTGCTCTCACTAGCGATAGGATAAACCCAGGGAACTCCAGTTTTATCTTAAAGTCAGGACAATTTCTCCCTACCTACAGGCGAAGCTGACTCTGTAAAAGAAAACACATTAGATTTATTTTGCATTGTTTCAGGGTAGTTCACAATATTACTTAGCAGCCATCTAGTGTTAACCATGAGGGAAAAAGTTCATCCTTGCAAATCACTCTAAAAACTAGAGACTCTTCTTCCCCACACTGAAA